ATCGCACATAACATACGAAAAATACAACAACCATTATGAAAACTTGTGAAGCAATCACACTAACAACTTTGCATGTAGAAACGTCGTTAGCGGTTGCTCGAAATTTCTGAAAATTAGGTTTTACTGTCGCAGTTAGCATCGACGGTCGCTACGGGAAGTTGTGTCATTACTAGGATTAATTGTAAAATACACGTTGAACCATTACGTTCTTCATTCGGTGGCGGTACCGCGAAATTACTGCGCGCTGGATATTACGCCGCGATATTTCGCGGTATAACAACGCCGCTATTCTTGGTATAACAACACTTTTGCCGTAAGTTTGTTTGTAGCGGCTCGCCTATAAATACATTTCGCAAAATAATGATTTCCGACGGTTAATAAATTCGACTTTCTTGATGAAGAATTGGAGAAGTTATATTTCTCAATTATCTTTATCTATAGCACAATGCGCTTGATGGCTAAAAATATATGATACTGAGAGAAAGGCATTTTTAATATTTGACGAAATCTGTTTTACACTCAATTCTGAAATTTCTTTTTTGTAGTGCGAAAATAATTGAGAACATAATATTTTACACAAACACCTTGCAACGATTTAAAACAATAAACAAAATTTTTGTATATTAATTTTTCTATTTAATGAACTTAATGAATTTTTATTGTCAGAGATATTACACGCTATAGCGTGGCAGAATTTGCATTAAATTCGGTAAATTATGATTGTAATATGGAAACGTGTTTACCACATTAACCGCTGCATCATCGCAATTTACTGCGCGGTAGACGTAATATATAATTTGACTTAAACCGCATAAGGCTATCTACATTAATAATTGCTTCAATAATTAAAAACACAATTTACGTTTGGTGGTAATTTATTTAACTTATATATAACAAATAAATAAAAGTGTAATAACTTGTGATAGATAAATAAAAGCAGGTCTAATAAAAAAATTATTTATTAACGATAATTAACGTTAATACTAATTACTAAATGGCTTTTATATATTAGAAATACAAATTTTATAATTCTGATATAAAATATTTTAATAATTATAGATTCTTTTGACGAGTTTGAAGGCAAATTGTTTTTAGAAAGATTTGTACAAGTATGCCCATTATTTGTTGCAATTTATTAATAATAACTATCTTGAAATCATTAAATTTTTAATTAAAATTTTCAAAAAAGAGTCTACATGATAAACTCAAGTGTTTCTTTTTCAAAAATATATATCAGAGCAGTGACAGAAGGAAGTATTATTTACTTGAGATATCTCGTGTAATTAGTGAAAAGCTTAATTCGTGAAATGTTTTTAGTCTTAACTGTTTGTAACTTAAAAGTTGTTAATTATTCGATTTTTTACAACTGATTAAAAAGCAATTTGTTTGAAAGGTAAATGTCTAGATTAAGGGCGACCTCACCGATTTCAATGGCCTTGATATATGTTGTCAAGGTCATGACCCCGAGTGACCTTCAGAAGGTTTTAGCCGTCGCTCGTTATTCGTTAAAAAATTATTAACAAAAAAAGTTTGGAAAATATAGCAGTTATTTTGAGTATTGGAAGGCATAAATAACGGTAATTATGCAGTAATAGGGATCACTCTCCGATGACCTTGACCTTGACATATGTTGTCAAGGTCACCCTCCTGAGTGGCCTTCGGAAGGTTTTAGCCGTCGCTCGTTATTCGTTAAAAAGTTATTAACAAAAAAAGTTTGGAAAATATAGCAGTTATTTTGAGTACTCATAGACATAAATAATTGATATTTATGTGGAAATAGTATATGTTTGAACAAAGGAAAATTATTTAAAGCAGTGAATTGTTGATATATTGAAAGGAAAGTTATTTAAAACTTTAAAGAAAATAAAGAGTATGTACTTTGTATGTGCTTTCTAAGTTAAAGAGAGGTTCACACTATACAGGATCAAGGGATTCGTGTTTATGTATAAGGTAGTACTCTATTTATGACATTCCAAGTTTTTATTTACATTGGTTGAAAGGTAACTACATGAGTAGGAATATTAACTGTTTAAAGCGCGTCAACTAACCTTAATCTATGTAGGTTAGTGACGCGCTTTAAAAGTATTTAAGTGTTTAAAGCGCATCAACTAACCTATGTAGGTTAGTGATGCGCTTTAAACAGTTAAATACTTTTAAAGCGCGTCACTAATCTATACGCCGAAGGCGTGTCTTAAAATTAGTGAGGAGGCTCTCCCCCGCCTATTTGTGTACTGTTTATACACATGTGTATAATACATATGTATATACATATACATACATGTGTACATACATGTGTATATACATATAATACAATATATTATTTACTATATACACGGATAATACGTATATATAGTACAATATAATACGAAAATACTTCAATTTATCAACACTTTACTGCTTTAAATGTTGTGTTTTGGTAAAGCAGCGATTTTTTCGCGAAATAAAGTATTCTCTGCTTTAACAAAAAGACTGCAATTTATCAACAATTTACTGCTTTAAATGTTGTGTTTTGGTAAAGCAGCGACTTTCTCGCGAAATAAAGTATTCTCTGCTTTAAAAAAAAAAAAACGTAATAGTCGTTTATGCTTTCCAATACTCAAAATATAGCTGCTATATTTTCCAACTTTTTTTGTTAATAACTTTTTAACGAATAACGAGCGACGGCAAAACATTTTGACGGTCACTCGGGGTCATGACCTTGACAACATATATCAAGGTCATTGAAATTGGTGAGGTCGCCTTTAATCTAGACATTTACCAAAAAAATTATTATGCAATAGGTACACTGCAAATCCAAGTGTATTATTTTTACACGCACGTTTAAAAATGACAAGAACTTCTTTTTACGTGTTTCTTTATGTGTTAAATTACGTCATTTAATAGGTTTAACGTATTAAATTAAAAGTTAATACGTTCAATAGTGTTAAATAACTTTGATTTAAAACGGCAAGAAATGTGTAAGAAGAGTTTCGGCTAAAATAATACACTTTACAGTGTACTAAACTTCATCTTATTCGTGAAAAAATAGTTTATATTAGGAATTAGGTTTTGTTGAATATTTAGTTATGCATGAAAAAATAAAACATTGTATAAAATATGCTTTAAGGAATAATATTGTAGAATAATTTTTTTGCTGACGTTTTCACAAGTCTTTTTGTATCACGCGTTGCTCCATTAGCCATCTGTGTATATCAACAAATATCAAACAGCGCCAAAGCTAAATTAGAAAAATGTCGATGACTATAGCCGTCTGAACCTGAACTATGCTAACTATAATTGGATGACAACGCAGTTTGAAAAAGAAGTTGAGCAGAATGCACATTTTTGTTGATGTTAGACTGTAGACCGACAGATCTTAATCTAACAATAAGCATTACAGCGTTATTCATATAACAGTAATAAATTGAAGCGGTAATAATTTTTTCGCGTATATATTTCAAAAAATTTATTTCAATAATTGAGGACTATAATGACAGAGCAATTTCGATGCCAGTAACGCATATCATCATGGAATATCATTATTATTATTATTATTATATCTTCAAAATTATTTAATTAGCATGCAAAATTATGAAGGAAAAATAACATAATATCGATATAATTGTCAGATTTAATTGAAATAATTTAATAAAAAACACGAGACGCTCGTCGCTCAGTTTTGTCGCGGTAACGTCGACGCATTTCGCGCGAGGTTACCATTCCGCAGAATTAAGAGTATTATTTCGGATATTATACCATGCACGTTTTATATTACATCGCTTACAGCGACGGCACGAAAATCGCTCAGTAACGCAGACGTTTATTTTTCTTTCGCCACGCTGAGCAAGCAACAGTCACTCATCTATTTATAACGGCATCGCACTAACCACCATCCGTCGAGTCTATTATCGCGTATAAATATAGAGCGCATAAAGAATGCCGATACGATGCATAAAACGCTTGAAAAGATTGTAAGAGAAAGAAAAGATTGGCAATTATCGATTTATCCCATCGGCGACATACGAGCGGAAATTATGTAATCTAGCTTTTGTGATGGTAAAATTTTCTTTTAATTATCATATCTTTATGTTGGTCTCTCTCTCTCTCTCTCTCTCTCTCTTTCTTTCTCTCAAGTCTTAAGTCAACTCTTGTATCTCCTCTACATTTTTTTACACCTAATCAATTAAATTCATTTTATGTTTCAGTCTCTAATGCTCAGTTGCCTTGCTTATATGTCGACTTTATTTCTGCCATTGCTCAGGTGGCTCGTCCATCTCATCGTCCTGAGTTTGTTTTCTCTGCTATTACACCAGACATGGTCTTTAAACTCATTTCTGCAAGACCTCTTCATTCTTACGCGTTGGGGTCTGATGGCATACCTATCTTTACATTTTGCGCATTGCATGGCCTACGATTTTATCATGTCTTACGGCTTTATTTAACCGCTCATTAGAGACTTCTTCGTTTCCATCCCAATGGAAGCGTGCTTTGATTCGCCTACTCTCAAAGATTCGTACTCCTTTGTCTCCGTCTGACACGCGACCGATTGCAAACCTGCCGGAATTGTCTAAAATTCTTGAGAGGATTGTAGCTAAACAGATAACCGATTATTTAAATGAGCATAACCTCCTGAATTCTAGACAGTCTGCATATCGATCCGGTCATAATACTCAGTCTGCTCTTTTGCGTGTTTGTGACGACATCAAAGAGGCGATTGATATTGGACATATTATGATCATGATTTTATTTGACTTTAGTAAGGCATTTGACATTGTTCCGCATCTTCGATTACTTATTAAGTTGAAAGAAATTGGTTTCTCTGATGCCGTGATTACGTGGATCTTTTGGTACTTAACTGGTCGTTCCCAGGCTGTGGTCGACGATGCGGGGAATTTTTCCGACTGGCTGTCGACGTCCCTGGGTGTACCTCAGGGTTCTGTACTTGGGCCCACTGTTATTTTCTCTTTTCATTAATGATATTAGTAAAGTTTTATCTTACTCTAATTATATGCTTTTTGCCGATGACAAGCAAATATATCTGTCCACCGGCTGATCTTCTTCATGGACTTGGGTTGATTAATAGGGACGCGCAAGCCATCTTCGAATATGCTAATGTTAATGGTCTTAAACTTAATCTCACCAAGTCCAAGGTGATTATATTTGCTAGTCGAGCTCATGTTAATAATATAGATATTACCCTTCTACCACCGATCATTGTCGACCGAACACCTCTGCTATTTGTGAGTGACGTGAGAAATTTGGGTGTTATTCTAATGTCCAACCTTTCTTGGAAAAAGCATGTCTTGCATGTCTCGCAAAGTGTTCATCATGCCCTGTATAATCTTAAGTTTAACAAGAACTCTCTCTCCACTGCGCTTAGAATCAAGCTTGTTAACACTTTAATCTTACCACATATTGATTACTGTTGTCTTGTTTACCACAACTTGAGCAACGAATTGAACACTAAATTACAGAGACTCGTTAATTGTTGTATTAGATTCATTTTTAATCTAAGGCGAGATGAGCATAGTACTCCGTTTAGGCGTCGTTTGGGATGGCTTTCGGTCGAGAATAGAAGGCTTTATTTTCTTGGCTGTCTGACTTATCGCATTCTGCATATGCATTCGCCTTCTTACCTGAAGGAACTCTTCATTCCTCTTGATCCAGCTTTGAGGAGATCAGACCGATTAGCCACATCATCACACACCTTTCACATTCCTCTCTATAGAACTACTACCTACCGTAACTCCTTCCGACTATCTTCAATTTATTTTTGGCACTCTCTTCCTGATGGCATTACATCGGCGTCTTCACTAGCTGGTTTTAAAAATCTTCTCCGCTCGTATCTGATTGCATCCGAATCTGACTAGTGCAGTTGCCTTATTCAGTTAACTTTAAGCATAGTCTAAGTTTATTGTAATATAGTATACTTTCTGTTATTATTGTTTTTAGTTCTTAAGCTTAGTATTAAGATTTATTGATCTTATTATTGTTTTTAGTTTTTAAGCTTAGTAATAGGATTTATTAATCTTAGGAGTTAGTCATTGTTTATATTGCTATACTGTAATATATCTCCTGTTATTATTGTATGTAGTCTATTAGCTTTTTGCTATGTTTGAGAGCATCTACTCTTTGTTATTGTTATAATATTGTAACTGCTTTAATACCTTTTGCCCTTTAGCGATGCTTGGGCATTTAAATATATTAATCAATCAATCAATCAATCAATCAATCAATCAATTAATCTCTCTCTCTCTCTCTCTCTCTCTCTCTCTCTCTCTCTCTCTCTCTCTCTCTCTCTCTCACAAGTGTTTTTCTACTCAGTCTGCCCTTCTGCGATTATTCCACGACATCAAGTATGGCGTTGATGTAGGCGAAGTGTTGATCCTTGTCCTATTTGATTTCAGCAAAGCTTTCGACACTGTCTCCCATCATTTGCTTCTTACCAAACTTAGGAAACTAGGCTTTTCTGATCAAGCTTTGGAACTAATTTTTTCGTACCTCACCGGTCGTCTTCAAGCGGTTGTGGATTTGGAGGGCGTCTTCTCAGAATGGCTATCTGTCACCGCTGGCGTCCCGCAGGGATCTGTCCTTGGACCGCTCCTTTTCTCTCTCTTCATCAATGATATCGGCGCGTTTCTAAGGTTCACAGAACATTTGATATTTGCCGATGATACGCAAATTTATCGCAGGTGCCTCTTAAGTCAATTAAATGCCGGGCTGCAATTTGTGGCGCATGATGTGAATGTTGTCTCTGAATTTGCGGCTGCAAATGGACTGACCCTCAATCTCAACAAATCCAAGGTATTAATATTTGGAAGCAAAGGTTATATCAAACAACTCAACCTCAATGACCTTCCTCTTATTTCCGTTGGTGGTATTTCGATTCCCTACGTTACCGAAGCGCGAAATCTGGGCGTCATTATGAGATCTGATCTATCTTGGGATAGCCATGTCTCCCATATCTCCAAAAGACTCCACTTTACGCTATACAAGCTCAAGTTTCACAAAAACTCTTTATCTCGTCAACTTCGTGTGAAACTTGTGACCGCACTCATCTGGCCTTTGCTGGATTACTGTTCTCTTGTGTACAATGATGTCACCGACGAGCTTGACACTAGATTGCAAAGGCTTATAAACTGTGCGATTCGCTTCATATTCAATTTAAGACGCGATGAACATATCACGCCTCTTCGTCACCAACTGGGATGGTTGTCCGTAAAGAACAGACGACTCTATTTCTTGGGAATCGAGATGTATAAGATATCCCGCGGCATATCTCCAGGTTACCTTTCCGACATTTTCATCAAACCCGATTCCTTGATCAGACGTTCGTCACGCCTGGTAGTGGAGCACGCATTTCAAATTCCCACCCATAGGACGGAAACATATCATAGATCTTTCCATCTCGCGGGTATCTATTTGTGGAACTCGCTTCCTTCAGAGATTGTGTCCTCATCGACTATCATTGAATTCAAACGAAAGCTCCACAACCACATCTTTTCCCTTGAGTCTGGTTCTGTGCCTGCTTCCACTCTGGGGCAATCAAGCGTTTGAACACGGGTCATATTTAATCTAGTCGCCTTAGTCAGTAATTTAGTTTTAGTTTTAAGCTACTTCATTATACATTTTGCGTTAATTTTGCCAATATTTGAGCATAATCCTTATCCAATCTAGTCGCCTCACGTAGTTAGTCACTCTAGTTGTCATTTCATTATAATTATTGCGATTTTGTTTCTTTCGTCTGCGAGATTGGTGCACACACTGTCACCATTATCATGTCATTTTCGATATTTTTGTTCACCGTTATTATGTTATTTTTTTTGATATTTTTATTGTTATTGCCATGTACACGGCGTTCTTTTGTACATTTTTTTTTTAATTGCCTAAAGTCCTGACTATGGCATAAATCTCTCTCTCTCTCTCTCTCTCTCTCTCTCTCTCTCTCTCTCTCT